GGAAACAGAGAGGTGGGACTAAAACAGGGTATAAAAGCCTAGCAAGCCGCTTCCTCAGCCCTTCTCTCTTCTTCTCCACCAACATTGAAGCCTGTGATCCCCTTTTCTGTTCAGGGCTCAAGCCGTGTGGCCCTGTCCAACAATAAACCATCTTTCCAAGCAGCCTCCATGTCTCCAGTGTCTTTTTCCCCACTTGGGAGCTGAACCCAGAAGGACATTTCTTTCAACACTACCTTAGCACATAACATCCAGTGCTCCTATTGAAGTTGGCAGAATCATGAGGACTAGAACCCCTAATTTTATTTTTATTTTTTTGTTTTTATATTTTAGAAGAAGAGATCAGGATTCACAGGTCAAGGCCCTTCGGATACAGTCCTGTGACCTGAACACACCTGGAGAGACCAAACTAGCTTGTTGCTTTTGTGGCTGGATGGCAATAATTGTCTCGACACAAGGACACAAGTTTCCCAAATCATACCTGGCTTAGGTGGCTTCTTCGGTGGCTTGGGAGGTACACGAACAGGTGGGGGCGGCCCCTTCCACCACGCTTCCTGGTCCCCGGGTTGATCCCACGCCACACCTGTCCCGGATGGAAAGGTGGGAGAAAACATACTTCAATTCTCCTGGCAGAAAATTTCATTTCAAAAAAACCCAACAGTGCAATTAATCCTTGACTTACAACAGTTCATTTAGCGACTGTTTGACGTTGCAATGGCACTTTAAAAAACCCTGACACGACTGCTTTTTTTCCACACTTGCAGCATCCCCAAAGTCATGTGATCAAAACGGGCAACTGGCTCGCATTTATGACGAGTCAGGGGTCACGTGATCCCCTTTTGCGACAAGCAAAGTCCAGGGGGAAAGCAGAATTGCTCAACAATTGGGTTACTCACTTAACCATTGGAGAAATTCACTGAACTGTGGCGAGAAAGATCATCAAATGGGTCAAGACTCACTTAGCAACTGTCTCGCTAATCAACAGAAGTGTTGGGCTCAAAATTGGGGTCGTAAGTCGAGCCCTATTTTTACGGTCAGATTTCTGGTCGTTCCTCCAGAGTGCAGGAGGTTTGCCTTTCAATCCGCTGGGGGAGCAAACCTCAAATCCAGCCTCCCTTCTGCTTGCAACCTTCCTGCCGTCTTCCCCAATGACTTTCTGGGGAAGCCAGCAGGAAAAAAAAAAGTCTCAGATTTCTGGCCGTTCCTCCAGAGTGCAGGAGGTTTGCCTTTCAATCCGCTGGGGTAACAAACCTCAAATCCAGCCTCCCTTCTGCTTGCAACCTTCCTGCCGTCTTCCCCAATGACTTTCTGGGGAAGCCGGCAGGAAAAAAAAAACTCTCAAAGGATAATCACGTAACCACAAAGCACTTGGCAACTGGTTGTAAATGCAAACAGGTTGCCAAGTAGCCGAAATGCAATCATGTGACTTGAGGGATTTTTTTTTATTACAGCCAGAAGTGTTTTACGGGCCATGGGGCACCCTGTCCCAGTTGCGAATGGTCATTAAATGGCAGTCATAAGTAGGGAGCTAACTGCAATCCCAAATCAGACTCATTTTATGACAGCCTAACGTGCTTTACGGACCGTAAAAATTGCAAGTGGTCATTAAATGATGGTCGTAAGTCGAGGACTACTTGCAATCCCAAATCAGACTTCATTTTATGACAGCCAGAAATGTTTTATGGCCCATATAAAGCCCCTGTTGCAATTCCGAGGAGTCATTAAATTATAGTCGTAAGTCAAAGACTATTTGCAATCCCAAATCAGACCCTGTTTTATGACAGCCTGAAGTGTTTTACGGCCCATAAAGCCCCCCACTGCAGTTGCGAACGTCGCTAAACATTCCGTCGTAATTCCAGGACTCCTTGGAATCCAAAATCAGACCCCTGATTTGCCCGTATGGATAGGAAACAGCCTTTGAAGTACCAACAAACTCTATTTCTGTATTTATATTTCATATTTCCTAACTGTGTCCCTCTCCTTCAAGAGAGGGGCTCTGGGTGGTGTCCGATGAGGGGTGGGATTCAAAAATTTTAGCAACCAGTTCCCTGCCTGGTTGCTGGGTGGGTGTGGCCATAATGGGCGTGGCCTACTCAGCCTCCGGCATCACGGCGGGTTGGGGAGGCGTTTTTGCCCTCCCCAGGCTCCAGAGGCTTTCCTTCAGCATACGTGAGGGAGAAAATGTCCTCCCCTGGGCTCCGGAGGCCCTCCGGAGGCCTGAAACGCGCTCCTTTCCTGACTTCCAGAACTTCCGGGAGGCCCACTTTTTGTCCTCCCGGAGACTCCATGTGGGCCCTGCACTTACCTGGCATCCAAAATGGGCTGCGTGGAGCACTGGTGGGTTCCACATCTGTTGCAACTGGTATGCTGCGCACAGGGCTGGGTGCGCACGCCACCACCCTGACACCCAGCTGCTCAGTGGAGGTCGCACAGGCGCCACATGCTGTGTGCGCATGCATAGTTGGCCAGTCGCATTATATGGAACGCGGGCAGGCAGGCGGGCCCAATGAGCCACCGTACCCGTATGGTGGCCGCTGCTCCCAGCTAATATCGGTACAGCTGTACCGAGCCATACCGCCCGGAACCCACCACTGGTGTGGAGACTCCTGGGAGGGGAGGGTTGGGCGGGGCCAGCCAGTCCTTGTAACTACCCTTTGAGCAAACCATCTGTAAAATCAGCCTCCAGTTCTCCTGAACTGTTCCGAACCAGCTGAATCCCACCTCTGTGTCCAAGACAATCAATAAAATTAATGCGAAAAATCAGAATAATTTAAAATGAAACGGATTAAATTTTTTTTAAAAAAAATGATAAAATTTCCAACCAGTGTAAAACTCCAAATTTCACAGTGTTGTCTTCCATTTTGACCTTTTTCTACACCCCTTGCAAACACCTGTGTTCTAAAATTGCATGCTCTTCCTGCCAGCGCTGTCGTTCCGCTGGGGCAGGCGTCGGCAAACGTAAACACTCAAAGAGCCATTTGGACCCGTTTCCCACAGAAAAGAAAACACCAAGAGCAGTGGTGGGATTTAGCCAGTTCACACCTATTCGGGAGAACCGGTTGGTAACTTTCCAGGCAGTTCGGAGAACCGGTTGTTCGAAGAAATCTCCTTTTGTTTTTCCCCACTTTACAGAGCTAATCCTGTAAAGAAGGCAGGAAGGAAACATTCTGGTGTTGTTTCTAGCCTAATCTTTAGTGCCCTGCTTACAGAAACTGCCTCTCCGGTTAACCCTTTTTNAAAGCCCCTGTTGCAATTCCGAGGAGTCATTAAATTATAGTCGTAAGTCAAGGACTATTTGCAATCCCAAATCAGACCCTGTTTTATGACAGCCTGAAGTGTTTTACGGCCCATAAAGCCCCCCACTGCAGTTGCGAACGTCGCTAAACATTCCGTCGTAATTCCAGGACTCCTTGGAATCCAAAATCAGACCCCTGATTTGCCCGTATGGATAGGAAACAGCCTTTGAAGTACCAACAAACTCTATTTCTGTATTTATATTTCATATTTCCTAACTGTGTCCCTCTCCTTCAAGAGAGGGGCTCTGGGTGGTGTCCGATGAGGGGTGGGATTCAAAAATTTTAGCAACCAGTTCCCTGCCTGGTTGCTGGGTGGGTGTGGCCATAATGGGCGTGGCCTACTCAGCCTCCGGCATCACGGCGGGTTGGGGAGGCGTTTTTGCCCTCCCCAGGCTCCAGAGGCTTTCCTTCAGCATACGTGAGGGAGAAAATGTCCTCCCCTGGGCTCCGGAGGCCCTCCGGAGGCCTGAAACGCGCTCCTTTCCTGACTTCCAGAACTTCCGGGAGGCCCACTTTTTGTCCTCCCGGAGACTCCATGTGGGCCCTGCACTTACCTGGCATCCAAAATGGGCTGCGTGGAGCACTGGTGGGTTCCACATCTGTTGCAACTGGTATGCTGCGCACAGGGCTGGGTGCGCACGCCACCACCCTGACACCCAGCTGCTCAGTGGAGGTCGCACAGGCGCCACATGCTGTGTGCGCATGCATAGTTGGCCAGTCGCATTATATGGAACGCGGGCAGGCAGGCGGGCCCAATGAGCCACCGTACCCGTATGGTGGCCGCTGCTCCCAGCTAATATCGGTACAGCTGTACCGAGCCATACCGCCCGGAACCCACCACTGGTGTGGAGACTCCTGGGAGGGGAGGGTTGGGCGGGGCCAGCCAGTCCTTGTAACTACCCTTTGAGCAAACCATCTGTAAAATCAGCCTCCAGTTCTCCTGAACTGTTCCGAACCAGCTGAATCCCACCTCTGTGTCCAAGACAATCAATAAAATTAATGCGAAAAATCAGAATAATTTAAAATGAAACGGATTAAATTTTTTTTAAAAAAAATGATAAAATTTCCAACCAGTGTAAAACTCCAAATTTCACAGTGTTGTCTTCCATTTTGACCTTTTTCTACACCCCTTGCAAACACCTGTGTTCTAAAATTGCATGCTCTTCCTGCCAGCGCTGTCGTTCCGCTGGGGCAGGCGTCGGCAAACGTAAACACTCAAAGAGCCATTTGGACCCGTTTCCCACAGAAAAGAAAACACCAAGAGCAGTGGTGGGATTTAGCCAGTTCACACCTATTCGGGAGAACCGGTTGGTAACTTTCCAGGCAGTTCGGAGAACCGGTTGTTCGAAGAAATCTCCTTTTGTTTTTCCCCACTTTACAGAGCTAATCCTGTAAAGAAGGCAGGAAGGAAACATTCTGGTGTTGTTTCTAGCCTAATCTTTAGTGCCCTGCTTACAGAAACTGCCTCTCCGGTTAACCCTTTTTATACTGTAACAGCTAAGGCAAAGCACCCATAGTTACGTTGAGTTGGCCACACCCACCCAGTCACATGACCACTGAGCTTCGCCTACCCAGCTAGCCATTATGGCAGAGAACCGGTTGTTAAATTATTTGAATCCCACCACTGACCGGGAGCCACAAAGGTCCTAAACGGAAGCCCCCCTGTTCAATGCTGGAGCTGACCGGAAGTTCAGTTCCCCCATCACAGAATCAATAGCAGTAGACTTATATACCGCTTCATAGGGCTTTCAGCCCTCTCTAAGCGGTTTACAGAGAGTCAGC